CAAAAATTTAAAGGAGGCTTACTCCGCAATTGTAACGACAGAAATATCAGATCACCATGCGTTATTTGCCAGTGTAGATGAAACAAATAAGAATGAAAAGCAAGACATTCAAAACAACAAAAAATATAAAATCAATACGAAAAATGTTAATAGGCAAATAAGAAACATTAATTGGGAAGAAATTATAATCATATCTAATAATGCAAATGACCTTTTTAATAATTTATACAAAACCTTTAACAAGATATATGAAAATTCAACAATAGAACGCTCAAAAAAGAAAAACCGCAATGGTCTCCCATGAATGAATGAATACATACTTAATGCGCTATTAGAGACAAGTTGTACAAAAAGTGGGCTAAAAATAAATTCAACAAAACCGACGAAATTGTTTACAAAAATTTTAATAACAAACTAAATAAAATTATAAGTAAAGCCAAACACGATCATATATATCATCAGTTTATTAGAAATAAACACAATATACGTCGAACATGGCAGGTTATAAATCATGTTATTGGAAAGAGAACAACAAATATAGATGATCATATCAAGCTCAGCTTTAACATGAAAAATATTAAAGAAATATCTGATAATTTTGCGTCAAACTTTAGCCAAAATGTATTAAATATAGTTCATCAGTGCAATATAATAACATTGAATATACGTACGGAAAGAGTTACACCAAACTCAATGTTTATGGAAAATGCTATGGAGCTTGAGATCAATGGAATATTAAAAACGCTAAATATGACTAAATCTGCGGGCATTGATAATAAGAGATAATTTATACAAAACATATCCCAAAAACAAAAGTAAAATTAATGATGAACTATATAAAAACTTCAATAACCAACTAATTAAAAGAACTTTAAATGCCAAAAACACACATTATTATCACAAATTTATTCACGCAATATACGTGAGACATGGAAAACTATAAATCAATTCACTGGCAAAAAAGTAGTAGCATAGACAAAACTATTAATATTATTTTTCCTAATCTAAACAAATGTGAAATCACTGAACAATTCCCATACATGCGATAAGAAAACATTGTCTAATGCTGAAACAACCATTTCAAATACCATTTATCTTGAAAACACAAACACTACAGAAGTCAAAAACATACTAAAAAGCCTCAATACGAAGAAAAGTGCTGGTTTAGATGGCATTCGGCCCATAGACTTAGAAACCAATGCAGAAATTATGGCGCCCGTGATTACTGTTCTTATAAAAATAAGTATAGATGAATCTGTAATTCCGGAACTGTTCAAGACATCTATAATCCGTCCGATATACAAGAATGGTGCTAAATCAGCATATAAAAATTACAGACCAATCTCGATCTTTCCAACAGTTGAGAAAGTTTCAGAAGAGATAATTTCTAGGCGGTTAAATAACTTTTTAACCAGGTTCAATATTATTAATAAAAATCAATATGGCTTTCAAAGAGGCAAAAGTATTAATCGCATTACTTCGAGGTGTAGTTCATTTACTGCCTTTTTGAATCTTTCTTTTCATGACCTAATCCCCTATTCAACACGTTGTTAGGGGTTCGGCTATTTTGATTGTAGACATTTGGTTTTATCCTCCAGAATTGAGTGGATAAATGCGCAATATTTCATCCATGTACTTTTACTATACGTTATTTCCTTAAAAACACCATTAACTGTCATCCGACAATGAATTTCGTTAATCTGTCTTAAGTTTTCCCACCTTCTGCATTTAAAGAGTGAGTGTTCCACATCGTCTATAGATTCACGACACATTTAACAAATTGCATCTCCTTTTATGTGGAATCTATGCAAGTAGCTGCCGAAGTTACCATGGTTACTAAACACTTGGCTAAGATAGAAATCTAGATCTCCATGTTTTCGGTTTTATAAAAATAAACTTATAAGTAGAGCTAAAACCGATTATATATACCATCAGTTTATTAGAAATAAACACAATATGCGTGGAACATGGCAGGTTATAAATAATGTTATTGGAAAGAAAACAACAAATATAGATGATCATATCGAGCTTAGCTTTAACACGAAAAATATTAAAGAAATATCATTAAATATGTATTAAATATAGTTCATCAGTGTAATATAACAGCATTGAATATACGTACGGAAAGAGTCATACCAAACTCAATGTTCATGGAAAATGCTACGGAGCTTGAGGTTAATGGAATATTAACAAGTAAAAAAACATTAAGTTCGGCCGGGCCAAACTTTTAATACCCTCCACCTTAGGGTAAAGGAAACATTAGAAGAAATGTGGCAAAAACCATTACAATGCCGAATATCGGGAGGTACCGTTATATGGGGCTATACTAAAACGTGCACCTACACATGCAATGTTTCGGAGCTAGCAAAGGAGCTAGAACCCATTATGACCTACAAATACCAATTTTCAGATAAGTCCGGGAAAAAATATGGCAAAAACCATCAAATTACCGAATGTCGGGAGGTACCGTTATATGGGGCTTATACCAAAACGTGGACCTATAATTACAATGACTCGCCACACGAACTGGCACCCATTATGATCTACTACTACCAATTTTCAGAGAAATTCTTGAAAAAATGTGTCAAAAATCATCAAAATACCGAATATTGGGAGGTACTGTTATATGAGGACTATATCAAACGTGGACCTATGCATACAATATTTCGCCACACGAACTAGGATCCATTATGATCCACAAATACCAATTTTTAGACAAATAAGTGAAAAAATGTGGCAAATGTGGGGGCTATACCAAAACGTGGACCTATAAATACAATGACTCGCCACACGAACTGGGACCCATTACGATCTACAACTACCAATTTTCAGATAAATTATTGAAAAAAAGTGTCAGAAATTATCAAAATACAGAATATGGACCTATACATACAATGTCAGCTATGAACTTCCAACACAATACGGGGTTCCACAGGGGTCAAAATTGGGTCCAATATTATCTATATCTATAAAAGAGGAAAATGTTTGTATGTTGGTTTGTAATTTATGGACAGGAAAACCGCTGAACAGATTTTCCTTAAAATTTCCATGTATACTACAACATCGCCTGAAAGTAACATAGGCTATATACATTTTTGAAATTCCACTTGGAACTGGAGATATAGCATCAGAATCGGAGGTACCTCCTAAAAATTTAGATTTTATATGCACATATCTAATGATCGATTACAGAAACAGTCTCCAAATTTGGAATGCGTAACGGAATTTGGAACAAAAATAAATTTGCCAAATTATATTGAAATCGGTTCAGATTTCATGATAATGAATGCATACACGGAAATACATTAACGAGGAATCAAGAAAAATGTACCATGAATTTAGAAATCGTTGAAAATTATAAGTACTTGGGAATTTATTTGGATCAAAACTTTAAATGGAAAGATCACATCGAAAAACTACAGAAAAAGCTACGAAAATCAGCGTTTGCGCTTTATCATCTAGGCAACTATGCATCCTTCTTTATATTGAAGCAAGCATACTATTCCCTAGTAGAGTCGCATTTACGACATGGTATTACAGCATGGGGAAATGCCAGATGTTGTAGAATGTTATAAGAGACACAGAACCGAATTGTTAAATTTCTATATAAAAAATCATACCATTCGTACAATAACGGAAATGTAACAGTGTCAACCAACAACATAAGCCAGATATACAAAAACCTAGAAATCCTTAATATAAAACCAATATTTTCAATTGCAATTATAGGCGAATTCGCTGACGACCGAAACCTAGCTGAGAAAATTAACCACGAACAAAATACCCGGAGAAGACTTGAAGGACGTTGCAAAATACCGAAATTTAAAAATGAATATGGAAAGCTCACTCTAGATGTCGCTCTACCAAGTACCCTTAATGAACTTCCAAAGGACATTTCAGAAATTAAACATAAAATATGTAGATTAAAAAACATAATATATATTAATGTTTTTCCTTTTTATTCGACCTTTTTATATTTTAATGAAACAAGTGTTAAAAAACATTTAGTGAGGAAACAATTTTCCAGCACACATCATAAACTCATTAATAAGAGAATACAAACCAACAAAGCGGACATCAGAAAACGAAAAACCGAAGAGAATATACAAATCGTTGATATATTTGCCCAATATCTCAGAAAGATAGGAAAAATCTGACATATGCGACAAAACTAAATATACCATTGCACACAGTTCTAACAACAGAACAACATCAATATTTAGCAAATTGAAAAGTAAAATACCAAAATTGGAAAAACATAACGTGATTTACCAAATTGAATGTGGTGGTAATAATGAGGAAGGCTGTGGAAAATTATACTTCGGTACGACGAAAAACAAATTAAAAACTAGAATGTCAGGACACAAGTCGGACATAAAATTGAGAAATACCAACATAATACAAAAAACAGCACTGTCCGAACACTGTAAAATACAAAATCATACCCCTAACATTGACGATGTAAAAATACTGCAAACGGAGAATCATTACAACAAGAGACTAACACTAGAGATGCTCCACATAAACAGTCTCCCAACAACAACAAGAATAAACAGCAAAACAGACACTGACAACACAGCCTACTGCTACAGGCATCTCACACGGGGTAGAGATCGTGCAATAAATAAATACTAATCAGTGCAATAATGTAACTTGACGGAGTAGAAACGCTACGCTAGCTTTAAGTTAATTATAAAAATTCAATTTAGTATTTATACACATGGAAGCGATCTTTGTTCTGTGTTAATATACCTGTTAGTATTGGAAAAAACTGTGATATTGTTAATAAGTCGTACTTTGTTTATTTTTATTGTAGGACTATTTCCCTGAAGATGAAATTCATTGAATTTCGAAATATTGTAATATTAAAATAAATACAACAACAAAGACCTCAAGCTCGAAAAACACTTGTTTCATCATAATATATATATATATATATATATAATTAAATAGATTTTTTAAAACATTTTAATTTTTATATAACATTTTGTGTTTTTCAGATTGACCAAGACAATATTACGTCCAATATTGAAATAGAAGACATTTTATCTCGATCTCACAAAGAGTCCGGAGTTGCTGCATTTGCAAAATACCATTACGCCTTGTTTTGCATACTTCGAGAAAGGTTTAATTTTACCGTTAAATTTCGTAATGCCCGTGGATGGGCTGGAAAACTTGGAAATTCATCTTTACGTTTGGGTTATATAGGAATAATGCAACGCAATGAAGCTGACGTGGGTGCCTCGGCATCATATAACCGTATAAATCGTTTCGACTTCTTTGACATTCTTCATCAAGGCTGGAAACTTGAAACAGCTTTTATATATAGGTTAACCCCTAACATTGGCTATAAAAATTTGAAAGGAGATTTCTTTGCCCCTTTTCATATATATGTTTGGTTTATTATGGGGGGCATTTGTCTCCTTTTGACGGTAGTTTGGATGTGTATAGAATACATGGTGTCTAAAAAAACAGATCAATTTACTGCAGTAAATGTGATTCCAGTCAATGTGGTTGGTGCTATTTGTCAGCAGGGAATGGACCCGAGTCCAATGGGAATATCATCTCGTATTATTTCGCTCACAACTTTTGTATTTTCATTAATATTCTACAATTATTACACATCATCCGTTGTGGGCGGTCTTTTGGGCAATACAGTTGAAGGCCCTTCAACTATAGATGCCATAATTTCTAGCGAATTAAAAGTATCGTTTGAGGATATAGGATACTATAAAATCTTATTCCAGGTAAGAACAGAAAAATATGTTGCAATACTTTTTTACATTTATACACAAAGTTTGTGCAAGTTTACACTATTAATTGTCAGCAAGTCTATAATATACCCAGTTTTGTTATTTGAAAAGAAAGTTTATTAATTAGTGGGAAAAATTGCAATGATTACGAAGGGCCAAGTGTGGGAAGAAAACATTATATAATATTATATTAAGAACAATATTATGTAAATCTTAATGCTTATAATAAAACTTCACGAAAGTGTAATTTTTGGTCAGTGTTTAAGATTAACCTACGAAAGTTAGACTTATAATATATGGAACAGAATGCCGCGTTTCTCATAAATTATGGTTCTGATCTTTTTTCACAGGAAGTAGTCGTATGTGTTTTGCAATATGACAAGGATCCTCAGCGATAACCGCCCTTGCTGCCCCGTTAAGAGGTTTTTCTTCATTTTATTATTTTAGTCTCCACTGTTGATAATTATTTTAAAGATTTGTCCCCACCCTCGCCTGTACACTGTCGGGTCAAAATCATATTTTTACACCCCAATTGTGCCACAACATTTGAAGACTTCCTTTGTTATACCAGATATGCAAATCTTGTTCCGGTAAAATTAAGCTGTCTCCCAGAGTTGGTATTTTGGTGTCTAATTGGTCGAATATCCGTAGGTTAGGTTAGAGGATGTGTAGTTACTACAATTGAAATTGAAATCACTCAGAGATGTCCATTGTGATCATCTTGCATGAAAAAGAAGAAAGAATAAACGTTGAGAAAGATGATAGATCTTTTTAGAAAAGTAAAAAGAATGGAGATAAGTGTCGAATAGAGTTGTGTTTTGACTCTGGAGGCAGGGCCTATACAGCATTTTTGTGAAGATGTAGATTACAAAGTGGTCCGTGTCTGAATGTACACTGAGATCATGAGTCGAACATTACTTCATTGTCTTCCTTTTGATAGAGCAGCACAGTGCCATTAAATGTGTTTGATCGTTTCATTCTCATCCTCACACAGCCTTCAGAATTCGACAATAGAGTCATCCCACTTAGAAGTTATTGAACAGATGTTGCAGTGGTATGTAAGTATCCCTATTGTTATCCGCAACGTTCTTTTTATTATTGGTTAGTAGATACCATACCTGGCCAGATTTAGTTTGATACCTTGCACCGTGGTTCGTTGTACCAGTTAACTCCAGTATCAACAGGTGTAGAAAATGCAGATGAGAATATTACTACAGAACCGACATGCAAATTGGGATTTATACCTGTCAAGACTAACAAGTAAAAAAACTGTAAGTTCGGCCGGGCCAAACTTTGAATACAGTCCACCATTTGAAACGAATTTGGCAATTCTCAAAAACAATTAAATCCGTTAAAAATTCTGTTAAAATCTTGAAAATACTGAATGTAGCTGTCACATTAGGGTCTATACGATGGCATGGACCTGCGAAGGTAACATTTGTCATAAGTCATTACAATATTCAAATGCGAAACTTGCAAAAATTGTTAATAATGTAGATAAAATCAACAAAATACCGAATATCGGGAGGTACCGGTATCTGAGGGTTATACGAAGACGTGAACCTGCACAGAAAATTTTCTGTCTTAGGCTGTAGTATCAATTACGAACTTCAAATGCCAAATTTGAAACGATTCCGGTGAATGAATTCGCTAAAATCATTAAAATACCGAATATTGGTAGGTACCGTTATCTGGGGGCTATACGAAAACGTGGACCTGCACAGACAATTTTTGTCTTAGGCTGTAGTATCCATTACTAACTTCAAATACCAATTTTGAAACAATTCTGGTAAAAATGTCGCTAAAATCATCAAAAATACCGAATTTGGGAAGGTACCGTTGTATGGGGGCTATACCAAAACGTGGATCTACATGGCCCATTTTCAATAACAAAAGTATGCATTTTAGTAAAATTTTATCCGTCCACAGACGGATGGACTTACGGACATCGCTAAATCGACTTAGAATTTTATGCTGATCAAGAATATATATACTTTGTGGTGTCTAAACTGTGCATTTCGAGGTGATACAAACGGAATGACAAACTTAATATACCCTCCATACTATGGTGGAGCGTGTAAAAATGGTAAGAAGCAGAAGTCGAATAAAACTACAGAGGTAAGATGTTATGGGTGCGGTGGTCGATACGTACGGAAGGATTGTAAATTCAAGAACGCAAAGTGTTTTTCATGCGGCAAGGTAGGCCACATAAGTAAAGTGTGCAAGTCAAATACAAAGCAGATAGGGAGTCGTTGTTGTCAGATGAGGGTGAAGAGGCACATACTTCTCAGATTGCAAAAGTCAGAACAAAGGGGCCATTCGGTCGGAAAATGGTCACAATGAAGATAGACGGCCAAATAAATAAATAAAAATAAATTTTGCCGAATGGTTCCAAGACCCAATAGAAGCATCAACGGGTACGGACATCTATAGCAGTAAAAAAACCATACTGTCTGAACATCTACGGCAACGGCTACAGCTGCAATTAGCCAAACATAAATTTATATACTGAGATGTAGCGGGTAAGTTTAAAGGTCCTCCTATTAAAGTGCAATTAAAGCAAGATTCTTCGCCAAAATTTGCAAGATTTGCATTCATATTACGGGGTGCGTATGCCAAAGAAGATTGAAGCTGGAGTATTCAGAATGGGCATCTACTACACATGTAGGGACGAAGAAGAATGGAGTTATACGTATTACGGGTAACTACAAACCAACCGTAAATCCGCAAAATTTGAATTTAAGTTAAACAAAAAGAAGTGCGTATTTGTGACGTCATCGATTAAATTTCTAGGCCAAAAACTCGACGCCAAAGGACTTCATAAATCCAATAAACACATTGAAGCGATTATGCATGCGACAAAACCAAGAACGTTGGAGGAGTTACAATTATTTTTGGGAAAGGCGTCGTATTATTCGAATTTTATACCAAACCTGTCTACACTTGAGAGGCCACTTCGGGACTGGGAGCAGTTCTGTCGCATCGTCTTTCTAATGAACGCGACGGAGCAACGATATTCACTAATCGATAAAGAGGCGCTGGCCATAGTGTGGGCCGTCCAAAAGTTTTTCAAGTACCTGTATTACCGTCATTGGACTCTGATTACTGACCACAAACCGCTGGTACAAATCCTACATCCGAGCAAGACGCTGCCTGCTGTATGCATATCTCGTATGGCAAACTACACCTTTTACTAACTACGCCTTTCTAATTTTGATTTCGAAGTGGTCCGCAAAACCTCGAAAGAAAAAAGTAATGACGATTTTTTGTCTCGAGTAACTCCAGCCAACGGAGTGAACAAGCTCAATTTTGATAAGGCCATATGTAATGACCTTGATGAATTCGACAGTATCGTGATTTTCCAAATTAATCAATTACCGGTAGCTGCTGAATGCTGGAAACGAGAAAGGATCCACATCTTTGTAAGATTATAAAGATATTGGAAAGTGGACAGTGTTTGTCACAAGCTGGTTACAAATCACCTAAAATGAAGTACAAAGTGTCGTCAGGATGTTTAATGTTTGAACACCGAATTGTGATCCCTCCTAGATTTCGGGGCTATTTAATGAAAGATTTGCATGGCGCCCATTTAGGGATGGTTAAGTTGAAAGGCATAGCCCGGTCCTTCGTTTACTGGCCGGGCATTGACAAAGACATTGAGAGCACTGCGAGGGAATGCGAGAAATGTGCAAATTATGCAAATGTCCCGAAGAAGTGCACAGATCATCATTGGAAGTATCCCAAGTCTCCGAGGGAACGAGTGTGCATAGATTATGTGGGACCCTTTGAGGGAATGATGTTACTCATCATTAGCGATGTCTTCTCTAAATGGTTGGGGGTAAAAGTTACCAAGTCAATGACTGCAGCTGCGGCGATTACATTGCTGGATGAAGTGTTTGCTACATAGGGGAGTACCATTAATAGTAGTTTCCGATAATGGAACGAATTTTTCTTCGGCGGAATTCAAGAATTTTGTATAAAGAATTGGCGTTAAGTACCACAAAATTACTACCCTCTACCACCCAGCAACTAACGGCATAGCAGAGCGAAGTGTCCAAAAGGTGAAGAATACATTAAAGACTATGTGTACAACGAAAATGAGATTGAAGGAGAATCTAAACGAATTCCTGAGACAGTACAGGAATTCACCTCATTCGACTACGGGTTAGTCCCCAGCACAGTTGTTCCTAGGACGGCATTTACGAACACGTTTAGATCTAGTGCGCCCACAAGAAACTAGTAGTAAAGTAACAGCCAAACTGTTCATGAAGAGCAGCTGTAAATACAGGGAACTAGAAAAGGATCAAAACTTGTACTTTCTGTCCGGAAATCCACGCATTATCAAATGGCTCAAAGGTAAAGTGACCACACGTTTGGGGGATGTCCACTATCAATTTCTGTTCCAGGGGAAGTATTATAGAAGACATATTGATAAACTTCGTGGTACAGATCTAAATGATATTGACACATGCAGTCGTCGCACACCAGTCAACAGTAAGGAAAGCTCTGTGAATCGTCCGAATAGCTACGGAGCTGGTTCGAGCAGCGTCACCGACGACAACTAACTCAGAGAGAGAGAGACAACTAACTCAGAGATTGAACTAGAACAGACTGAATAATTTTCAACTCCACCCCTCTCAAAACATGGGTATGAGGACACCCAAGCCTTTTCGACATCTACTCCATTGCTAGGATTTCCGGAATCATTCGCATCATCATCTGCTACAAATGTCGATGAACGGGGACAAGGATTGCGGCGATCAACAAGGATTCGAAGACCCAGGGCCCCATTCTCTCCTTAGAGGGGAAAGATGTTGTGTATGTTAACTCGATATTGACATCAACATCGACATTCTCAATCCCGTATTCTTTAGTTGTTAGTTCATAGTTTACTCTTGTAACTCGTACATTACAATATTTCTTAATGAAATAAACTGAATTAAATTAAAACTCCAGACTTTGAGTATACAATAACTATAAACATACATAGTCAC